ATCAACAGGTCGTGGACTCACCGAGTCCTTGTATGGGACTCGGTGAGTCGAGTCGGGTTCTGCCAACTTCGATTTTTCTGCCTCTTTTGCTTGCACCTTTTTAGCATCCTTTTGGACAGGGGTCAGTGGAACGAAAATTTTCTCAGATGCAGTTATTATTGCATTTATATGCGCCATTCTTGGATTGTTTTCGATATTGCTTGGAAGTTCACCCGGTGCTCTATGATTGATTTGTTGTGCAAGCTGCTTCTCAATGTTAGGAATGGATGCTTGCTGATTCCTTAGCATGGCTTGTTGATCTATCATTATATTTTGATGCTCTTTAATCATGCCTTGCTGCTCCCTTAACATATTTCATTGTTCTTTTATTTAAGCTTCGGTTTCATTGTGTCTCTTTTCGGATGCATCTGCAAATCTCGTGAGCATGTCCTACAAATCAGATTTCTTTTCCAGCATCGGTTCCTCTTTTTGATTAAAAAAAAAAAAAAAAAAAAAAAAAAAAAAAAAAAAAAAACCCTTGATCTTTGCCTATATTTCTCCTCTTTTGTTTTTTTTATTCATCGCAGGGAAGCCATTCCTTCTTGGGTTTCCGCCAATCCTCATCATATTTATCACCGCTTGAATAACACACTTGAGCTTCCTTATTCCCATTCTCGTCCAAATCACAATCTTTGGTAAGGTGAGGTCCATTACAATTATCACATCCCACCCGGATAGCATGGATGGATTGGTCCATCTTGGTCATTCTTCAATCCAAATTTTCCAACTTAGCCATCATTGATGCCAAACTATCATTAACTAAGTTCACTACCTATCGATTTGGTTCATTCCTTGAATTATGATATTCTCTAGAGTGCTTGGAGAATTCTTCAATTAGTTCTTTGATTACCGGGGGTGGCTTCTTTGTGAGAGGTCCTTGTGAATCAAGGAGCTGCCTAGTTGTTACGTTAACTCCATTATAGAAAATGGATACTTCTTGTTGACTGTTTAAACTGTGATGTGGCAGTTCCTTAGTAGACCCTTATATCTTTACTAAGCCTCATATAGTGACTCTCCAGCTTATTGTTCATAGTTGGCTATAGCTTTCTTCAACTTGGCTATCTTTGAAGGAGGGCAAAATTGGTCTATGAATTCTTCCTTCATTTTAGTCCATGTAGTGATGGATCCTGGAAGGAGTGATTTCAGCCAATCCTTTGTAGCACCCTTAAATGTGACTAGAATCATACGAAGCAAAACTGTTTCGCGAAGCACATTTGGAACATTGAAGTAGTCGGCTAAATCGTTGACCTCATCCAAATATTTGTAAGCGTCTTCGTGATCTTTCCTGTAGAAGGGGATTTCCTTAAGTTGAGTAAGTATGTGTCCTTTTAGTTCGAAAGTGGCAGTGGCGGGAATTATGGGTTACACAAGTCCCGGGCAGGTATCGTCACGTATCCTCTTCTTCCATTCACCCATGGGAACTTCATCGATGCTAGCCATGGTGTTAGCGGGTTCGCCTTCAAAGTCGCTTTCTTCTTCGGAGTTGGATTCATAATCGTACTCAAATTCGGCTTCTTTTGTATAATCTTCAAAACTCTCTAATTTGCTTCCTTCGCTCTTATGACTATTGGACTCACCTATCTTCTTGTTCTTTTTCTTCCTAAAGACTGATTTGAGGTCCTTGAACGGCGATTTCTTTGGCGGGTTATTGTCTTCAAGTACTTTATCCTTTTTTTTCCTAAGTACGGATTTTGGGCCTTCAAATAGAGGGACCAAAGGTGTGTTGGATCATCGGGTCATGAAATACCTGCAACCAAAACAAGAAAAACACCTAAAAAGAACAAAAAGAAAATAAAAACGAAATTACTGTTTCAGCAACAGACTCGTCGAGTCTATTTGTAGGGACTCGGCGAGTTCACTGCTTAAACAGAAAAAAAAAAAAAAAAAAAAACAAAAATTCCTAAAAGCTAAAAACTGAAAATTAATCCTAATACTTAATTTACATAAAACAATAACTTCGTGCAAGAAAGATCTTACACAAAGGATCGATAACACTAGTAATCAAGTTAAATTTTAGAACCGTTCCCCGACAACGGTGCCAAAAACTTGATTGGTGTAAAACCAACTAGTTTTAATCCTACTTTTTAAATATAAATTTAACACACAAAAGACATTGTACCTATCTATTGGTGGTATAATTAAGCAAGCAGGATATCGAACACAGGGAAAGGCAAATTAAACTAACTACTAGAATTATCTAAAAAGCAAATAATAAAAGGAAGGGTTTTCTCTAGTTTTGCAAGACTAGAAACTTAAACAATTAAATAAAACTTAAACTACCAACTAAGCAAGCAAAGATCAACTAAATTCAATAATAAAGAAGACTTTTGTTTAGGTTTGAATCCTTTATTCCTATGGTTGATTTTATGGCAAGTGCAATGGATTAACTTTTCATTAGCTACCGATTAATGTGATTAGGTTCCTGTTCGCTATTACTAATCCTTAGAAAATTAATCAATTCAAACAGTGGCCTGTTTGTTTAATTAACAAATTTTCTAGTTTATTGATTCAGGTTAAGTAAGAATTGTAGTGGTTAATTAAATTGGTCATTCAATTAACCTCTTACTGATGGTTTGTCATACAAGTTCGCACATTAACTTACCTATTCTCTATTAACCCTAGTTTCATGTTCGCTATTCCTAGGCATATAACAATGTTTTCACATAAATCATATGAGACTAGCAATTAACAGAAGAATAGTTACAATTAACACATAAGGTTCTTTAACAAACTTAACAAAACATAATCACCAAATTAAAGTAATCCAACCATAAAATCATACCATAATCATATAGTCATCTATCCTAAATAGAAGATAATAGTTTTAGCTCATGATTACAGTAAACAAAGATCAAGAACGAAATCAAGTAGCTCAAGCATAGTTTAACTTAAAGAATAAGTAAGAATGGACTTGAATTTTCCTTGATTCTTCTCAAACATGGATCTAGGTTTGATTCTCTGACTTCCAGCGCCTTAGCAGGTCTTCTAATCTCCAAGGGTTTCTCTCCAAAAAATCTGGTATCGATCTAGAAGTCCTTTTTTATAGATTAGGGCGACTCGTCGAGTCAAGGGACTGACTCGTCGAGTCCCTCATTAAATCCTCATGTATGGAAAGGCAAGGACTCTTCTACTTTGAGAATGTTCGTGGGAACTCATCAAGTCTAGGTTTAACTCGCCGAGTCCTTCTTGGTTTTTTTTGGCTCTTTTCTTCTTTCTTTGATTCCCAAGATCCCGATAGCTTCTCCTGCTTCCTTTTGCTTCCGAGCACTCCTTTTGAACTCAAAATACAATTTAAACATAATTAAGCATCTTTTGTTCCATAATGGCAATAAATTAGCCAAAAAGTATTATTATTCTATATAAAATATATGACTAAATATGCACGTATCAATTATCATGAGTTTAGCCATGTTAGGATAAACTAATCTTGGTTGATTTTGGTGAAATCATTTGAGTATTTTGTTAAATGTTGAAGAACTTCAAGAACTTGTTCTTGAATCTTTTTTATAATGTTTTATGTTTTAACATCTTCTTGGTACTTGTATGTTTTTGTTCGTGAGTTTAAATACATTTGTAGTGATTAATTGGCTATTTTCTTGATTAAGTAGTAGATCCTCAAATTAGCAAGCAACAAGTGGTTCTTATGTTAGTTTTCACTTCACATAATCACAAACACATTTTCTCCGACATGGAAGGGAAAGCATTTGACTCCTCATGGATTTAGTGACCTTTTGGGTTTTAATGCTAGTTAATTTTCACTAATTACATGCTTAATGAATATTGTGACCTTAACTAAGGAAATATGTTATGAGCTTCTCTAACTATTTTAATAACTAAGGAAAGTCTAGGTAATCTCAAGCTTCTTGGATTACTATTGCTAATTTAGAGATTTAAAACAAGTCACTACTAGAAAAACAGCCTTTTACGACGCTCATTGCGCGTCGTAAAACGCTCAGACGAAGCACAAATGCGCGTCAAGGAAGGCCCTGTCATAAAGAGAGACGACGCGCGGTTATGACACGCAATGCGTATCAAGGAAGGCCCTATCATAAAGGAAGAAAACACGCATTTGCGTGTCGGAACCTTACGACACGCGTGTTTATGACACGCAATGCGTATCAAGGAAGCCCCTGTCAAGAAAGGCCATGTCATAAATGAAGATGACACACATTTTTGCGTATCATAATTTTAAATATTAAAAAAAATTATTTACAGATTTACTAATTTTCAAATTAAATTTGCATTTAATGTCTCATAACCTAAAATAAAATGCCATATACAAAAAATACAATCCATTGCATAAAATTTATCGTCATACAAATAACAAACTTTATTTCATATTCATACATATGATTACATTATTCATTAAAAAACATCTACCTACATCTTCCCCTAAATGTTATTACATGATGTTGGCCACTTCATTGATGGATCACCAAGAGGAAAACCAACAACTGCCCTAAAATGTTCCATGATGTGCAACATTTAATAAAGTAAAATACCTCCTAAAAATAAAATTGCACTAGATCGAAACAACACATCATAATGAGAAATTACTAACATGAATGGAAGAAGTACACTATAAATTTGTTTTACCAAGAATGCCATGGACGATCAGGTGCTACAAAGTTTGTCCAAGCTACCAAACAAAGACTGCATGCAAACCAAAACAAACATATGTATAATTGAAATGAAGAATGCAATACTTGTATATCTACAAAAAACTTGAAAAAAACAACAAAGATTTAATGTTTATATATAGCAAGACCATATATATATATATATATATATATATATATATATATATAGACACACACACACACACAATTCCAGCAGCTAATTCAAGAAGCTTAATTCTCCAATCAAGAGTGTCTCTTTGGAATTATTTTGGTCATTGCCTATGTGAAGTAAATTCAAGAATGGAAGTGGAAGTTATTTGAAGGGCTTTTTGTTAAATTTTATTAGTTGAAGGTGATGTTTACAGAAAGAAGTGGTATATCTTGAGTAAGATTGCCAATCAATTGCCTAAAAGAAGGTAAATGGTTTGGACCATTAGTGTTAACCATTGCCATCTTTACCAAATCACCTGAAAGAAAATTGTAAAGTAAATAATTCAAGCATTATAATTATATTCATATATGTCATTTAGTTTTATGTTGTATTTCCCAAGTTTTACCAAAGAAAAAAAAAGGAGAGAAAAGAAGATTATATTTTCATGTTTCTAGGCTTGAAAAAATAAAAGGTAAATAAACATTTTAATAATTTATGTGTTCCCGAGTTTGAAGAAAAAGAAAAGAAATTAAATTCACGTCTTATTTTAAGGAACCAAATCCTTCCAAATTGGAAGGGAAGATTATCCTTTCTCTTCTTTCCATTATAAAAACTCAGGAACATTAAAAAACATTTCCTGTCTTCTTAGTTTCATTCACTTGTCTCTTTAAGTGGGACTCAGGAAGTAAATATTTAATAGAGTTGGAAGAAGAATACAGTTTAGTTTAGTTTTTGTACCACTTTCACCATCTGAGATATCTGCAAGCCTTACAATGCCATCAGTCAGTTCTTGTTCATGTTCCTGCGTTATATATCATTATTATTATTATTATTATTTCAATCATAAATCATACATTACATGTTTTCAAAATTAACTAACCTGGAGCACTTTCTTAGTTTTCTGTATTTCAACAGGATCTGGATGACTAGACCCAAATACCCTCTCAACCTATGGCATGAATGTTAAATTCCTTTCCCTTCTTGTAAATAAAATATACAATATACATATATATGATATATCTGCAATTATCATGTATGTACCTATAAGAGTATGAGTGTGAAGTGACTGAATATTTTCTCGACCCTTCTTTCCAATGCCATTCTGTGATCGTGGAAAATCTTTTCTTGATGCTGCTACTGCTTGACTTTTGGGCAACCCTCTACCTCTCACTGCACCTCCACCTCCACCAGGACCATTATCACATCCAACGGGTCTACTCATTCCATGAACTGAATACCTGATCCACCATTGTATATCCTCTAGTGATATCTGCATCAAGTATCAAGCAATATTTTATTTAAGACATGGTATATCACCCATGATTTTAACTTTCTACACATACCTATGCAATATTAACCCATTCCCATGTCTCATTTGCTGTACTAATATCATAAACTAGTGCATGCCGACCCTGAAAGTATATTTTTTCCAGAATAAATTTTGGAGGTGGAGCTGCAAGCAATATCAAATTACCTCAACGGGGTTGTCATCTGTTATAATTGCTTCATAAAAATTGTTGTCATCAGGCCATCTGGTTCTCACTTTTCTTCCAATCAATGGGGAGAATGCTGATGTTTCAGCAGACTCATTTGCAACTGGCCCAAAAGTCACACGATTACCAAGCTGGCCCCACCCACTTGGCCCTGATGGAGGGTATTGCATTTTCAGGGAAGATCCTCCCCCCATTATCTGACCACCACCACGACACTGCCAATTGCGATTTACAAATTACAAACATATCATAATAAAAAACAAAAATACCAATGTGGTATGGAATGGGCTTACATATTTCTTGTTTTTCCCTTTTGTCCCTGAGACAGGTGCTCTTCTAGCAGATGAAAAAGCAGCTTTCCTTTGATGATTCTTCCAGCACGATCATATTTAACTTCTCCTTTACTTGAGATTTCAGCTTCTCTTTGTTCACTTTATAATTCTTATACAACAATTCAGTTTGTGAAGGAGCAGCTTGCATATGGACATCATTGCCCTTCTCAAATACTTCTCATGCATGTATGTTCAGTTGCTTGAACGCCATTGCTTGTCCACTTACTCTATTCTGGTTATCCCCCTGCAATTCAACAAAATATAATAATATTAACATTTGAGAAAATATTTATAAAAAATAAATAAATAAATAAAGATAAATCAATAAAGGTTATTACTCACAACATAGAACTTCTCATTTTTTTTATAATTCTCATTTATAAAAAATTAACTATTTCATCAAACTATTAATTATTATGCTTACAGCTTATAGGCATCTCATCTGACATTATATATATGTTTTTTCCGTCAGTTGATTACAGTTTTTACTGCCATCCAGAGACTTAGAGAACACCACAGCAAGATAAGCTACGACAGTGGTACCACTCTTTGTCTCTGCACATAAGTTATTTGATAAAATGCCTCAAAGAGTATATTTTGCTAATTACAAGTTTTTTTTAATGTTTATGTACAAGTAGATGCTAAAGAAAGGGGCGGAACTGATATTTTGCTATTCTACCTGTAAAGGAAAACTTTATGATTGTCCATTTACAACTACATCATTCTTAAAACTACATCATCAAGAAGAAAGAGAGTGTACACCAAACTGAAGTTTATCAAGAACAGTGACCATGCTTTGAAACAAAACAAACTTAGATCACATAGTCTATTCATTCAAAAGGGTTTTATTTTACCCATTAATTAATCTCATTAAGTTAAAACAAAAAACCCCTTTGTATAAATTGCTACAAACACTACTGGAAAATAGCTAATGTAGTACACCACATCTAATGCGGTTGTAATAAAAATCCATATTATAACTAGGTAATGTTAATCTAATACGGGCATATAATCCGGTTAATGTCGTAAGAATGGGAATAGAATACAGGGATTTATGAATGTTATTAGCTTGAAATATAATACAGCTAAAACCTAGATCTAGTACGGCTCAATTTGAAATCAAGTACAGAGCTATCCATTTTCTAATACAGCTCATTTATAGATTGCATAACCATTGCGACCGTCAACCTAGCAATACTGATTTGGACATCTGCATAGAGGTAATTCTTAAAGTATTCGTAGGACACTAGTAATTGAAGGGACAAAAGCGAATTAATAATATAATAATTCAAAGTTCTTGAAAGAAAAAAAATAATTAGAATGTTGTAAACCTGGTTGGTCATATTCCAGGTCAAACTTGAGGAATTCTTCCATGCTCTTCAACTCCTAACTAGGCTTGTTAAAAGCAACAACCAACATGGATTACAACACACACAAGAAAACGATGAGAGACAATAATATGAAAAAAGAATTATTTTGAAGTAACATGTTGATAAAAAAATTACAATTCTTATTCATTCTTTTGACCTAAAAGTCAAAATTAAATGGAATGTTCCCATTTTGCCCGCGTTCCCTTCTTCATACTTGTTTTGGTTGCATTTTGCAGAGATTGATCATTTAGTCACATGAGGGGACAACAGGTTTTTGACATCATTATATATGGTGATAGCTGTTTCAAGAGATTGATATTGTCAAAATGAGTGGATATATTAATAGTGCTCTTGTGTTGAATACATCAATCCCTGTTAATGGAAGGAGTTTGACAATAACTTTGCAGCTTGTAAAATGTAGTCATACCATAATCAGTGCCATAGAGATCTTTGAAATTGTCAGAGATGAGGCCAAAACATTATTAATGAAGGTACTTTTAAAACATTTCTTGGAATTTGAAGGTTTGAAAAGGATTCTTATGAAGTTAAAATTCTTTCTTTATGTTGTAGTAAAAGCTTTGCTGAAATTGAACCATTCGTTTCAGTTGGAATGGTGATCTATGTGTTCCGCAACAGCATCCATGGAGTGGAATTGGGTAATGAATAAGGCTGGAATGCAAAGCCGGAATGGGTTGCAATGCAATCTGGAATGAATTGTGGGGGATGTGACATCAAGTACGGTTGTTTATGGTGTATTAGATGCTATAATATGGTGTATTAGATTCTTTTATGCGATGGTTGTAAATAGATAGGATACATATAGAGTACGGTTAAATAGCGGTACTCTATTAGGCATGGAATCTAATACACCCCTCTACTAATACACCCTCTATGTATGTACTATATTCATACTTTCAACCGTATTATATTATACTTTTTCTAGTAGTGAAATTATACCTTTTATAATGCCATCAATATTTTTTTGTGTCATTCGTTCATGAACCTGTAACATAAACAATAAGTTTAGATTTTTTTCCAAATATATTTGACAGATAACAAACCTTCTTAATGATGCAAATAATTCTTATGAAAGTTTTCTAGCCTCTTCAATTGAAGTTTCATTAGCTCTAACTTCATGTTCGACCATGTAAATGATAACTTTAAGGATACTCCACAAAAAAATATGTGAAGAAAGAGATTTACTATTAGATTCCTATGATCCATTCGTATGTGTTTCTCTCAATCTTGCAATATAAGGTTGAATCAATTGATTTAACAATAACCAAAACAAAACTGACATTTCAACAAACACTTTTAGGGCACAATTTATATCAATCATAACCAAAGAATTTAATAACTTACCGTATCTGAGGAGTCCCAGAACACCATGAACACCTTCAAGAAACCAATCCCAAACAAATATCCAACCTAAAAAAGTGTTAGTGGTGGTGGCTGGCAGATTCCTTGATGTACATTGGTGGCGAGGGTGTGAGGTTGTGGTCTTGATACGTTGGGGATGATGTTGTGGTGGTTTTTTCCCAGAGGGAGGAAGGGACGTCAGCTATCCCGCACCACCGTGGATGCCAACTGGCCCGACATCAGTGATCTGAGCAGATCGGGAAAATGTAAAGAGGGAATGATCCTAGGACAGGTTTCATTGAGCAATTTGATGCATGTGAATGAGAAATGAAGAACTCACAGAATATAAGATAAAAAAAATATTACTTGTAAGAAATCAATTTTTCAATATTAGGGCTCAAACCTACCTGAATAGTAACTTGGTATAACGGAGGGTCTTTCAAGAAGAAAGAAGCGAGCATCAGGTGGTTTGAAATTGAGGTCCATGGTGGAGGCGTGAATAAGAAGAAGAGACCTACAGGATAGTCGAAAAAATAGATAAGTAAAATGGAGTACATGGGAGGTGTCCACTGGAGATGGAGTAGCATCCGACGAGACCAAGAGGCTCCCACTGTTTTCATCGATTATACCTCCACCCAAAACTTTCCTCCCTCTGTTTATTTCAGCGAAATCGGACAAGAAACCAACTCACTTACCCCGATTTCTACCGATGACGGAGTCTAAGAAGCCAAGGAAAGCTCACCAAGAACCGATAATTACCTCCTCCTCCTCACGAATAGATTGATCATCCCGATCTACTAGTCGCTACTTGCCCTGCTCCATCGAACTAGTTGAGTCCCCTCCCTACGTGTAATCTGATGGCGACAAGGAAGAACAACCACGGAGACCGTCGGAGCGCCTTCCCCCTAGTTGCGGCAGACAAGGGAAGCATCGCTGCTTCTCCCTTCTCCTTTTGTCAAATCGATCCCGCACTCGAGGTGTTTTCCCTTTTCCCGATTGATTGCATCATCGAGCCACCATGGTTGCTTGCGTTCCCATCTTCCTTGCTCGATAAATGAACCACGACCACCGGACCATAACTCCCGCTACCTTCGTTATTCTAATTCCCCTTTTTCGGTTTATCTGGGAATAAGAAACAAACAAGAATCAAGATTTGCATTCTTAATATTGAGACTTGAGAGTATAATACTGAATTAGGGCTTTTTCCGACAATTTCAACATCGAGTGGGAGATATGGTGGTTCCAGTGGGTAGAAGTAAATGAGCCTTGCTCGATGTCAACGAACGGGGAAGAATTGGTGGCGGCGGTCGGAGTGCAAGGGAAAGATGCAAGCAACACTCGATGTAGGGAGGCGGAGGATGACCGGAGAAGATTTTTGTTGTCAAAGAACATACCCAGAGCTAAAGAGGGGAAACAAGGAAGGAAGGCGGGTTTTCTAATTTTTTTTATTTCCTTTTTCCCGCTGCTAGTTGTTGAAGAGCGCGTTTGTAAAATTATAAAGCGACATTTCTAGACGATACGCCTTTAACATAAGCGCCCTCCGTTTTGTTTTTGTGAGACACTAATTCTAGGGCACGCAAAAATGCACGTCCAAAATTCTTTAAATTTCTAAAGATTTGACATTATTTTTAGGGCACGCCCTTTTGCGTATCATTAATCAGTGCGTGTCATAAAAAGCGTGTCGTTAAAGGTCTGTTTTCTAGTAGTGAGTGTTGCACTTTGGATTCTAATGATATGCTCATCAAATGTTCAAGTGAGGAAACATTATGTCAACCATTCTTCTCTCATTGATTTTACATCATACTCTTGCTTTTGTTAAATTGTCTCTTTAAATCTCAGTTTAATTCTAATTTTTTTTAAATATTTCAAAAGATAAAAAAATCCCCCATTTTTTTAGTTTTTTTATAAGTGTTTGTACAACAAGATTTGTATACAAGTAACAAATTAAACTAATCTTTGTGGATATGATCCCTTTACCAATATACACTATTTTAGTGTACATGATTTAAGGTTATTTATTTTGTTGGCCTCGACAACCACCAGCCTTATATTTATAGTTTATTTGTCAGTGTTATTCATGACACGACATATATTTCTAGACGTGACTATCAGTGAATTAGGGTTTTAAGTTTGTTTTATAAAATCATGAGGTGATTGATTATTTTCACTACAAATTGGCTATGTTCAGCTCAAATTCATGATTTTTATGATTTATCTTTTCTTTTTACGTTTCAAACTTTATTTTACTGATTAATGACCTTTCTTTGGGTTTTAGTTGTAAAACTTAAAAAATAAAAATTAATTAAAAAGAAATATATAAAAATGAAAGAGATACTCAAACAAATGTTAGGGTTGCCTCCCGCAAGCGCTTCTTTAAGGAGTTATGTAGGTGGACTCCTAACATCTTCTATTTCTTTGGGTTGGTTTTTGTATAGCTTGTTAATGTACAAAAAAACCTGGCTTGTAAAACCTTTGAAATTTAACCAACTTGATTTTTAATTTTTAAAATTGAAGCTTGTTGATTCCTAAATGTAGTTTCTGCAATGGAATTATGTGTTTTCATAGTTTCTTCTAATTCATTATGTCTTTTCTTAGAGACTCAAGTACATTATATACCTATACTTTCTAGGTTAATCTTCTTTTGAGTGTTAGGTATGGGCTGTTCTAAATGTTCTTGTTAGAAAATTCCCTATTAGTTTGTCTATATATATTCTCTTTTTTTTTATGTACGTATCATGAGGTATACATACTTTCTTAGCTCTAGGTTCATATGTTTCTCCTACATAAAATACATAGGCTTGTTCCTTAGTGTTTCTAGAACATTCTTTCATAAGATGTGGGTGATTATAATTGCCATAACCTATTTGTATTGCATGTATCGATTGGGACATTTTTGTCCTTAATTTACCCATGTCATCAAAATTTTAAATTAAAGCTTCTATTTTCTTATAATTGATCATTTGTATCTTTCTTTTAATAGAGGTACCCGTAACAGATAACCATTGGTGTGAGCATTATGCTAATTCTTCTATTATTTACTTACCTTCACCAGGTAATTTCTTAGGTAAAGGTCCTCTAATAACAATCAATTATCTAGTAGTATGTGACATCCCCATTTTCACGGCCAGAAAAGACCGATTTTTGTTTATGCTTTATAAAAATCAGAATACTTCTTTTCATAAAAATGTTGCGGAATTTGTTCCCAGAAAAACATGATAAATACGTTATCAAAACATTTTCGAAGAAACGTATTTTATTCATTTTAAAACGTTTGGGATGTCATCGTCAATACAGAAACACAAGCATAAACAGAACTTACATTTATTTACACTAGTAATCTACATCTCTTTAATCTCTCAGTGTAATGTGACTTCATATCGACACCTATGATATAAATAAAAACTGAGTGGGTCAGGTTGGGAAACCTGGTGAGTACACAGGGTTTTCAACCCATAGTAATATAATTAATATGTTTATAACAATCAAACAATCAACCCAATTACCCATCCCCATTAACTTCTTTACACTTAAGGATCTTCCATAAGAGTCAACTATTCCTCATTTATTTATTCCTAAGGATCATCCTAAGGAATTGGCACGAAGTCCATCATTACCAAGGCTTACAGGTTACAACTGGTGAACAAGTAGTCCAAAACATGTGGTAAACACTTAGTTCAAAAGTAGCTAGTGAACATGCTTAGTTCAAAATACCTAGTGAACAATCTTAGTTCAAAAATATCTAGTGAACACACTCAGTTCATAATACCGAGTGAACACACTCAGTTCAAAAATGTCTAATGAGCACCTAGTTCAAAACCACCTACAAGTTACGAGCCTACTAGCATTCCACTGGACTGTCTAGTATCGTCCATGGTCGTCATCTATACTCCACTAGATGAGTGGATCACTGTCAACATTGATGTCTTCATCGTGTTGTCACACAACAACTATTTCATCTACCCATGTTTTACCCAACACATTTTGTAGATATAATATATATATATATATATATATATATATATATATATATATATATATAGTTTAAATAATCTAAAACATGTATAAAAGTATTTCACACAGCATAGACAGCAAGTATTCAGACAATATGCACACATAGCAAGTAATTTATATTAAATACTTCATATTTATGTGTAAGATGAAAGGGACTATGCACTCACCTGAAAGGTGGTGACTCAACACTCGGACAACACTTCGATACTCTCAAAACAATTTTCCATCGATAAAACCTAGTATCAATACCACTAGGGTTTAGTACAACGATAACTGCGACAAATTAATAGTCTGACTATTATTACTATTATATAAGCGTTAAATAACACTCAATATAACTCATAATAATAGCCCAAATAATTATTTTAAGGGCTTAATAACATTACTATAATTATTTGAAAGCTATATTAAAAATAATGTAGGTGTAGCTCACTTACAGCGGGTTTTATCGAAAACCAGGCTTTGCTGGAGCAGCGTTCCCAAGCCGAAAGGCTCCTCCTCTCGGAGCTTCCCGGTGCTCCGGGAATTGCTTCTAACGCCTTGGAGGTGCTAGGGAAAAACCTTGAAGGTTTGGGGGTATTTGGGAGGAAAGAAGTGGAGAGTTGTGAAGAAAATGGGAGATTTGCGCCTCTATTTATAGGTTGTCAGTGCCGAGTACGCCGAGCGTACTCAAAAATTACGCTAAGCGTAATGGTTACGCTGAGCGTACTCAAAATTACGCTGGGCGTAATATGCCATGTGTCACCATCTAGTGGCTAGCCTTGGGGAGGAAGCAATGGTTGTGATCGCGCCACATCACCCAAACTCGCACAGCACCCTCCCGACTTAGAAAAATCGTAACTTTCGCATACAAGCTCCATTTTCGACGTTCTTTATATCCACGTGAAGGCGGGAATGTACTCTATAACTTTACATTAGACTCCGTTGGCTAATTTTGAATTTATTTTAAATTTTATGATTGGTCCTTTAAAAATTCATAACTTCTTCATCCGATGTCCGTTTTCCTCTGTCTTTTTATCGTTACGCTACAAATAATGAGATCTTTAATTCTCGTTTAGGTTGTGTCGGCTAAAAACCGGTCGATCTAATATTCAAATTTCTAGCTGTACACTGCTAAGCCGAAACTTCGAAAAATCATAACTTCTTCATACGAAGTCAGATTTGGGAGTTCTTTTTATGGACACTCTCAGTTTACCGTATTCTACGACTTATATTTAGATTGATAAGGCTAAAACTCACTCTATCGTAAATTCACTATTTACGCTTCCCGGTGCCGTGTCGGTTCCATCACGAAACTTCGACGGGTCATAACTTTGACGGGTCATAACTTCTTCGTTATAACTCTGATTTCGGCGTTCTTTATATGTACGGAAACCTTGTGACATATACTACAATTTGGTTCAAATTATTTATTCTAAATTATATTTTGTCAAAAAGTCGTTTTCAACACTTATTGTCTCTAAATTGACTAGTCCGGATGTACGGGCGTTACAATTATCTCCCCTTAGGATGATTACGTCTCGGAATCATCAAAGAAACAGGTCTCACATGATGAATCCATAAGTTATCTCTTGATCCTAAGTCATAACTTCAATGTTTCTTCGAACGAGTATCTAACTCTTAGACTCCTTGACTACAGGCGGTGCTCGATCTGGCATCCGCTCTCTATCTCACGTTAGACTCCAAATTATGACCTTCAAGTCACAATGTCAATCCTCAATTGATACGAACTTAAGATAAGTTCTTTTTGTTACTACAATGGAACGATGTGTCATATTCTAATGACCTATCATTGTAAGATGTATTTCTTAGACTCAGGTCGTTTAGAGTCCAATTCTGAAACAGACTATACCTTCCTTCATGTTCTAATCACATCTTAAAAGGTTGCATTTCTAGCAACCATTGTGATACTTCTACTGATTGCATTGGTTAATTCTTTTGGCTTAAATACATGCTACATCAAACTTGGTTCTCTGAACCACGTAACATACTCATCGTAGTCGGACTCAATTCGATATGACCACTCGGGTCGGAATATGAATAATCTTTTTAGTCATTACCGAAATGATGCTAACGACATACTTGAATAAAACTGTATCAATTAGTAGCTTCTTGGTAACCTTGTGACTTTCCCTGATCCAAGCGTGAGTCATGTGCTTCCAGTAGTATATTAATCTACTACCTTTCACACCTACTCATACTCGTCCCAAGTATTGTCTCACAGTTTTCCAAGTCATCATGCAACAAAATCACATAACAGTTGAACACATCAGATACAAAACGAAGGCTTTATTATTTCTCAAAATTATTACATAGGTGTTCAAGTTCACCCTAGATTATGCCTCTAATAGGCTACATCATACGATACTATGGCTATTGCATAACTTGATCTTCGGATATGAAGTCTTCATCCTTGATTCCTCAATGGTTTTTTGCTTCGTCAAGGATCATGTGGAATGCCCTTGGCCTTGGTGGTGTGTTTGGCCTTGCTGCTTCATTCTT